TTCTCTAACAAATCCTTCCCTCTCTAACAGGGGGTGTTACTTACTCAAATGGAACTCTATCTATCCAGAAGCACCAAGTTCTAGCTATCAGCCATGACCATTCCAATGCCACCTTTCTTCTTCCCCTTCTTTTGACAGAGCTCTATCCTGCATTCTTCAGTGCCTTAACGTTTCACTGCACATCTACTTAGCACTGTTAATTTTGGATGTTTTAACAATTAAAAGCTAATGGCACATCTTGCAACCAATGTAAAGGGCTCCAATGTTTGTACAGGACCAGCAACACTGGGAGCTTGTTAAGTCATCCAGTTCTGCAGCATGGAAATCCAACTTAACAGTTGTTCCCAGCCAACTATTCTACCTGTTCTATCTTGCTATGGAGCAGCTCAAGTTAATAATACAACCGCACAGAGGTTCTAGGTGAAAGGCCCCCAAAGTTAACAATCAAACAACATAGCAGGGCTATTTGGCTTGCTGATTACCCTTCCTCCTGCAGAAGAGGGAGAGCCAAACAGGACAAGGAGAAGAAAATATTGTACGTATGAGATGGCAGAAGAAAGCACACTCCCAGTCTAGGAGCACAAGCCTTCTCCCACTGTGGCTGGCAAGAGGCACTTGGATGCCATACCCTGAGACTTCCAGCAACGTAGTTCATCAATAAAGCACAACATCCATTTTCTTTAACCAATCAATGACTTGAAGTAGCCTGTGATGAGAATATACATTAGGTGAAGCTACAGAAGTATCAGCTGCCAGGAGAGGGCAATGAAAAGTACCAAATATCCAGTGGTAGCTCAAAGATCTGTTGCAGAGCATGAAATTGGAATTTGCTCCTCAAACAGCAGCCAGCAGGTCAGGAACACGGAGGGAGCCGTGCAGGGGGAAGAGGAACTCTGCAGGAGTTAGCACCATTGTGCTGACTTGAATGTGCCAGCAGCCAGGCAATAACAAGCAAAAGGAACTTTCCACTACATAGGCCACTTTAAATGTGCCTAATGCCTGGGAAGAGGAAAGTAGGAGT